ACTTTTTTTGCTGATGTTGTTAAGTGAATCAGATAGTTGTTCAGTGAATTTGGCTTCCCTCCCCCCCCTTGTCGGAAGGCAGCTAGAAAAGTTGCAAGTGGCAATGATATGATTCTGTGGCCAAGCACCCAAATTTTGGCCATGTGACCAAGGAGATGCCATGATGGTCCTAAGAGAGAGGACGGGCTTGTAAATCGCTTTTTTTTTCAGCGCAGTTGTAACACCAAACAGTCACTAAATGAATGGTTGTAAATCAAGGACGACCTGAAGAAGGTATTAGTTTAGCTGCCAGAAAGATGCCTGTGTCCCTCGAACCATCAGCATCTGAGAACCTGGTTGGTCCAAGCCATGATGGAGGCCCACGTCTGAACCTGAGCCAGCCCTGCAAAGCTTCCTAATTCCAGGCTAGAGACTCAAAGACAGGCCGAAGCCATCTTGGATGCTGCAGGCCAACATTTCTGGGCCACCTCTTTGGGAGTGGCTCCTTCCTCTGCTTTGGGTAGGGCACGTGCAAGAGAGAGGGAAGAGGGAGTAAGAGGGAAGCCCTTCTCCTTGGACCTTCTCAACAGAAAGGACCCTGGGTCCTACGCCTCGCTCGTCAGTTTCGAAAAGCCGCTTCATCTGATTTACAAAATATTCTGTCCATAAACCTCGTAGAGATCTCGCAAAGTAGCGTGCCGTTTTACCCAATGTAATCTAACCAGCATTCTTAGTTAACAGGTGAAAAACAACAGTTCTTGATCCCACAGAGTGCTTTCCGATGATCTGGGATCACCGACATTTTGAAGCACGATAGAAATACGTGGATGGAGGCGCCTGGAATAGCTTCAGAATTCATGCCAAAGTGATGGAAAACTTCAGCTCAGCATCTCTGCATCTGGTGAAATTAGAGTGTAAGGGAACAATTATCCCCCAAAATATCTTCAGTGGCCAAAATAAATAAATACATAAATTCAGAGAAGAATATTTTTTTTTTGCATTTGATTTTTTTTGTTATAGGACAATATTGGTTTGTCAACAACTAGTAAACTCGTTGTTTCATCCGGCTGCTATTATTCACCCTAATGGACTTGACGTGAATTCTATTTTGCATTGGAACGTTGTAAAATTATACCAATTTATATAATAGCTTTGGCCGATGCAAATCTCACTCTGTTCAAATAGGACTCCTAAACAAATTTCTGGCTAAAAGTGACCTAGATATCTTTTGCCAAAATAATATCAACTGTTTCATTCTGATGCAAGTGGTCACTCACGGCTTCCCATGAATTACATCTCACACGTTGGCTGTTCTTTCTTTCTTTTCTTTCGAGAAATACATCATTTTTCTGCTTTTCCATTTAATACTAGAGGCTAGAGTAGGAAATAAAACTCTTCGCATTTGAATAGTTACAGTCTTAACGTGCTCTTTTCCTTTCATTGCAATTCTAAACACACCACCCTTGTAATAAATGCCATTCTTTTTAGGGGTGGTTTGTGAAGGTTTCATCCTAAATAAAGTTGAATATAAATTCCACGAAGGCTAGTACTTGCAGGTAGAGGCACAACAATCTTTTTCTCTGCACGCAAATCTTTTTGGATGTGCACACACCTTTTTTATCTATCATCTATACATGTGGAGATGCACACTTTAAATAATAAATGGCTGACAATTCTGAAATGCATGTAAGTGTAATGTCAAGACGACAAAGGCTTTTCTTTTTCCCTTCAGGGAAAAAATCTCTCCTATTTGGAACAGCCAGTACTAATTTGTATCATTCTAAAATCCTCTATATATTTTGAATATGCAGGGAAATAAGCTGCACTCACAATTGTTTAGAGTCTATATAATATTAATAGATGGCGAAAAAAGGACCTAAATTCCTTACGATATCATGCACAGAGGCAGAAATCCTACAAAGTTTAATTTCCAATTGCCTTTAATTCAGTGGGCTTCAAATTAAGCATAATTGTAGCTGCAAATCTGCACACACAGACCCCACTGAAGTACCTCCCCAGCTGGGAAAGTAAATCATTATACCCAAGATAATGGAACTTTTACATTGTATCACAACTATTAGATATCCGTGCAACTGTGTTTAAATCTGGAGTAAACATGGATAGAATAGTTTTGCTCGGTTCTTTGGAAGCAATTCGGTTCAATCAGTGGTCCACAGTGGATCAAAGGGCCCAGCTGACCTCTTTCAACAAGTGGGGTTCAGTTCCCCCTTTCTTGCTTTGATAGACTTTTGGGATAATTTCAGCCTCAAAATGTCTCATCGCGAGAGAAGACCAGAGGTGTCTTGGGGATCTGGAAATATTCAAATGGTTTGTAGTTTAACTGCACAAATGTTTGCCGCAGTCAGCATGGCCCCTACAAAATTGTGCTGGCCAGAGATGGCAGCATTTAAAATTTTAAAATAGGCAGTGTTAACCTCACTGTTGGCCTGGGAGGTGTGTGGGGAGAGGAATTCTCTCTTGCTTTTGATCTTTTACCTGCCTGCTTCTCTCTCCCCTTCGGCTTATTTCCACACAGAAGGGCAACAGGAGACAAGAGGAAAGAAGAGAAGAGAAAAGAGGAGAAAAGAGAAAAAAGAGAGGAGAGGAGAGGAGAGAAGACTTTGGGCAGGAATCTGCTTGTTTCCATTGTCCCAACATTAAAAATGTCCAAGCTGGACATAAATAAGTCAACCAGCTTAATTAAAGACTTTTCTCTCCCTATTAAAAATTTAAAAGTGCTCTTGAGTATAAATAGGCCATTTGGAAAGGGAGCAAAAGATACACTTGCATCCACCAATAATTGGAAAATTGTTGCTTTTACTTGGATCCTGAATAACACCGCAGAACCATAAATTACTCTAATGTTGCTCTGTTTGGTAAAGGGCATCTTTAAATGCTAGCGATTCTTTGCAAGAGTCACCTGAACGCCTGGAGTAGAATTTTTGTTGTTTTTTTGGTACACGACTTGCAATAATTTAGGTAAACACTTGCTTTCCTAGCACTAAATTTATCCATTTTACCCACAACATTCTACACAGACAGGGCAAGGGGCGTGTTTAATCCTTCCACAAGGAAACTGAGTGAGAAAAAGATGGGATAAAGACTGGAAACCAAAGGTGTCCATCTTGGCCACTATAAGGTATGTAGACTTCAATTCCCAGAATTCCCCAGCCAGCACAGCTGAAATCCATGTCTTGTGCCCAGTTTGGACACCCTTACTGTAGACCATTCATGGGACACTTCTTTGTGTGAAGAAGATCTCCGCTGCAAAGCCCAGGATCTCCAATCATATTCATGGATGCCTTGCATATTTGCATACATGTATTTATATTTTACTGTTGTTTTGCACTTCCGGTTGGATGCTAACTGCATTTCATTGCCTGTATCCATGGCAATGACAATAAAGTTGAATCTAATCTAATCTAATCAAGAGTGGGGCTAGCTCCCCACTTGAAAAACTGGCAGACTAGCCCCCTTTGGGACGTTGACTGCATTGTCCAGATGTGTCCAGCTGTAGCACCTGTAGACCAGACCAAGCATGCTCCACAATGGGGTTGTTGGCCTAACTCAAGATTTCTCAACCTTTGCTTAAGTTTAAGATGTGTGGACTTCAACTCCCAGAATTCCCCCTGGAGAAATTGACATCCCTGCCAGATTGGAAAACTCCTGCACTACCTAAAGTTTCATTCGGAAAAGCAAGGGGTGTCCAATGTCTTACTCACCCCTAAACCCAGTGCATTTATTTTATTCATTGGGGGGGGATTGCCCCAAACTCATTGATCCTTTTAGAGGGCGAGGAGGTCACAAAATCGAGAAACTTTTGCCATCATCAGTGACATCTGATTTTTTTTTTTTTATCCAGGAATTGCCCTTTCTTTTCCTTGCTGCTGACAAGTTTATTGCAAACCCAGCTTTTTCGGGTCTTGCTCCCACAACCTGGAGGGAGGCTGAAAGAAAGATTTTATTTTATTTTGTGGAATGGTTTTCTTTAGAGGCGGTTCTTAGATAAAGTGTTTGCAGTTGGCCATAGAGCCAAGAACCCTCCGCTTTGCTTTGAGCGCCTCCTGGTGGGCATAGGTCATTTCTGCAGGCTTCGCTTGTGTACTATAAATTGTTCTGGAAAAGCAAAACGTTTCTTGCTAAAAATACAATTTTCTCTGCAGGTGGAAGAATGGCTGTGAACCAGCAAATGCAGACAGGCAGCTGCCTCCAATTACTTATCAAACATTAATCGATCGGCCCTTCAAAGTTAGAAGGGCACTGAAAAATGTGACTCGCAACCAGTCCTTATGACCATTGCAACATCCTCATGGTCGTGTGATCAAGATTCGGGCACTTGGTATCTGGCAGATATTTGCAATGATCACAGCATCCTGGGGTCACATGCAACCTTCCCAGCAGCTTCTGACAAGTCAATGGGGGGAGCCAGATTTGCTTAACAATCACATGAATCTCTTAACTGCAATGCTTCGCTTAACAACCATGGCAAAAAAAAAGGTTGTATAATCGAGCATGGCTCATTGAAAAGCCCCCTTGTTTGCAAGAGACATTCTGGTCCCAATTGTGTTTGTAAGTTGAGGACTTGCTGTGTTCCACCCTCACCCCACCCTTAGGAAGAAGTTGTTCTCCTTCGGGTCAAAGCACAGGGGGAAAATCTGTTTACTGAAGACACACACACAGAGAGAGAGACGCACACACGCTGGAAAAATGCCCCTTGCTCTCTTCTTCTCTCTCAGCACACACAGACCCACAAGATTGTGTGTGTGAGCTGGTATCAGAAACTGGGCGCTGTTTTAAGGCAGAATATTATTTTAAAAAGGAAGATTACAGAATCAAGATATGTGCCTAAAAGACGCTGCAATCGTAGAGTTGGGGTTGGAAGGGACCTTAGAGGTCTTTTAGTCCAACCCCTCTGCTCATGGCAGGAGTCCTTATCCCATGCCAGACAAATCAATGTCCAATTTACACGCAAGGAGGCTGTTGTTGCCAGAGGCAGACCAAAGAACTGCACAAACACGGGGTTTCTTTTAAAGTAAAAATCTCATGTATTTTTTTCTTCCTTTATTTGTCCTTTCAACCAGACCCCACCACGGGTGGAACCTCGTGATGGATCCTATTGTCGTATCCGCTTCCCTCTCTTAGGAATGTTAGTTGCTTCAGCCTGGTGACTCCCACAGGACTAGCTACTGGGCAGGAGCTGAGCGGGAAGAAGGCGGGAGACACACACGGAAAGCGAGCCAGGCTTGGCGGCGTACAGAGCAGGCAAGAGCTGAGTTAGCCGGGTTCCTTGTAGGTCTGCAGAGGGAGGGAGAGAGAGAAGGGAAAGCAGCAGCGGTGGAAAAAAGCACATTTCCAGCTTGGAGTGGTTGGAGGGGAGCCTCTCTCCTGGGCTTCAGTCTTCTCCCCCGCAGAGGTTCAGGAGCGCCCGCTGGTAATCGCCCTTTGTGTCTTGCTGCAGGGAAACCCAAGAGAGAAAAACAGCCAATGAAACCTCTGAACGTTGCAAAACCAGCCCTCCGCTAACAAAAGTTCATGGAAGTTACAACGGTGCTGGAAAAAGGGTGGCTTATGACCGTTTTTCACCCTTATGGCCGTTGCAGCATTCCCCACAGTCACGGGATCAGAAGTCGAATGCTTGGCAACGGGTTCATCTTTACGATGGTGGCAGGGTCATGTGATCCCCCTTTGCGTCCTTCCAACAACCCAAAGTCCAGGTGGGGAAGCCAGATTCACTCAGCAACCGTCTTACTAACTTTAATATCTGCAGTGGTTCACTTAACGAACGTGGCAAGGAAAGTCGTAAAAGGGAGCAAAGCCACTTAACAAATGTCTCGCTTAGCCACGTACATTTTGCGGGTCTGTTGTAAGTTGTAAGTTGTGGACTCCCTGTACACCAAATCTGGCTCAATTCCCCCTCCCCTTTAATCTCCAGAGCACAGGACATGAGATGAATTGGGGGTCCCCAACCCCACCTGGGGGTGCAGGGCATGGAAGAAATGAGCCCCTATTCAGTGGGGACGTGGCTCCCTTCAAGGGATTTTAATTGGAGGGGCTGAGGCCCAAGCCGGCTCCGTCCTCTTGTTCACCCACCTGGATGAAGTAGTAGAGGGATTTTCCGTATTTCCTCTTGAATTCACTCTTAACTTTCAACATGTCAACTTCAGCTCGGGAAACCATGACTCGGATTAAGACCTTGTCCCGGGTGCCTTTGCCCTGAGAATAAAAACACCTCACGCTGAAACCGAACGTCTGGGAAATCTCTGAAAGCATTTTTTTCCCCTCTCCTTCTTCAGACCAACGAAAGGAAAACTGAGAATTCCTTGACAGAAAGATGGGGAAAGCAACTTGGGGAATATTTGCATAAGCAGAAGAATTAATTGCAAAGGGTTGGATCTCTTTCCCATTTCTGCATCCTGATTTGGGAGGGGGGGAAGAGCCCCCATGAGCTCTGGAAATTATTTGATGATAGAGCAATTCAGTATCGGGGAAATAATGTCCAATTCTAACATTGGGGTAGTTTAGAAGCCATAGCTTCTCTCCTGACCTCCTTTTAAGTGACAAATCAATCCATTAAACTCGATGAAGTCAGTGTCTGCCTCAAAAGATTGACATTTATACTGTATTAACACTTCAACTGCATCTCTAGTATGCATCTGCACCACAATCTCACTCTGCAGGGATATTGGCAGGTTTGGTTCAAAAAGATGTTATGTAAGATTCAGCTGAGCTTCGATTCCACCACCAGGGCCACCATCTTGACTTTTTTGACCCTCCCTGCCCCTCCTGCTCTTGAACCAGGCTGCTTCTCCAAGGGCCTTACCTTCATGGAGTCATAGAGCCGGTCAGCAAAGTAGAGCTGTTTGTTCTGAATGCACTGGACTGTGGAAGGAATAAGATCAAAAATGAAGGCGAGACAAAACAAGGAAACCATAAGAAACTTTTGTAAATGTACAACACTCAGAAACAATTTACACACAGTGAAGACAGGGCCAAAATCTCAAAACCCATCTTCTAAAATGGAAGAGATCAAAATTAGGGCCGCCTTAAGTCTGTCCTAGCTATTGACTTCTCCTCCGTTAAAACAAATCAGTTACAATTTTGTCATGTCCCTAATCAATTATGCACGGGTCCAATCAATGCAATTGATTCAGAGAGCAAATAATCTTTCATCGTTTACATTCCATTGGACACTCATAACAGACATGGATTTTGAAATATTGTGGGTTGTTTTTGTTTTTGCTGAAATGCAACCATCTGGTGTTAATTAGAAATGCAACTTCTTTGAGAGCTCGCATAATGCAAGAAATCCATCCAAAGACGTGCCTCAAATTCGGCTGGAGATTATTTTCTGTCCTCTCTGACATCGTGCAGCCTAAAAAGTGACACAAATCTATAACTTGAAGACAACCAAGCTTGAAAGCCTTCTCATCACTGAATTAATTTCTCAGAACCAGGGAGATCTCTAAAGTGCCCTCACGTTCTGACATCTCTACTTCTGCTTTTAAAAAAAGGATCCAGGAAGGGTCTTCACCCCAGTTTCCCCTCCATCAGGCCAATGTCGGCTTCCTGCTTTGGAGACAGCCCACCCAAGATGTCCATGGCCAAGTTAAGAGGGCCGGTTTTCCCTTCTCCCTCCGTTTCCTTACCGAGATTAATGAAGGCGTTCTCAAGGTCACCTTTGACCTCCTTTTTGATGCTCTCCAACATATCATAGGGACTGTAGCTCTTGTACCTTTCGAACACTACCGAGACAAGGGAAAGGAAAGTCAAAACCATCATTTGGGTGAAGACAAAGTTCAAGAAGAACGTCGGGATCTAACTTAGATCTATCATGACACTGCCAGGTCTCAGGAAGAAGGGCCCCCAAGTTGGACTTATCACTTCTGGTCCTCCTGATAAGCCTCCTCCAGGTTGAGAAATGATAGTAGGAAATAACTCCATGAGTAACAGAGAATTACTCTTTCACCTTGGCTCAGTCGAGCTGCTTATCAAAGAAGTTGGTTGTCCATAAGGAGCTTCTCAATGGTCCACTCTCAATGGTCAAGAAAGCTCTGGAAAGTGAAGCTGCTACCCAGAGCATGGACTTCTTTCCTAGTCTTATATATTGGCTGGCAGAGGCGTCTGCCATGATTGTCTCCTTTGGACCTTCTTCTGAAAGCGGATCCTCTAGGCCAGGGGTCTCCAACCTTGGCTGGCTGAGGAACTCTGGGAGTTGAAGTCCACAAGTCTTAAAGTGGCCAAGGTTGGAGACCCCTGCTCTAGGCCAGAAGTGTCCAACCTTGGCAACGTTAAAACCTGTGGACTTCGAGTCCCAGAAGCCCCATGGAGTTGGCCCATTGACTTGCACCCCACAGCTGTCTGCAGAGGTTCGTTTTACCTTTCTGGAGATGGGGGATGCTCCTCTCAGTCATAATGTTGATCCACTTGGGAACATCGGTGCCCTTCCGCTTCACTCCGGCATCGTAGAGGTCCTGGGGAGGAGAGGGACATGTCTGGGGTCAGCTCCCATCCACATCTGGAATGACCCGAGCACCTTAAGAGCTCAGACAGCAATTCTGCGGGCAGAATCGGCCAGCTCTTGCCAAAGTGGCACAAAAAACAAGGACAGCTATAAAGGAAAACTTGTGTGGTCAGATGAAGTGATAGAAACCATCAAAATGGGAGAGGCAGATTGTTTTATGCCACATCTGGGGGAAGGCGGGTTGTTTTAATCGCTTGTGGGAGATGGGGGGCTATAAATGCTGGAAGTAAACACGTTATTTTTAGTTTTTTGACACAGAAGGGAGTATTTATTTACCCGAGCATCTTGGTCAATGAGCTCAAAGTCCACGACAGAACAGTCTTCGTTTCTCCTGCCCTTGAAACAGAGAACAGAAACACAAAGTAAACCCCTGTTATCCATCACAGAGTCCCTACGTAGGGAAGGCCCATGGAGGACATCTAGTCCAACCGCCAACTTTTGCACACCCGCAGGAATCCCGTTGCTGCAGCACCACCATCAGATTCTGAGATCCAAATCAAATCAATTTGGGTGTCAGAACCATTTGGGGATCATTCGCTGAGCGTATCATCGTGAGCATAGCTGGCTGGGGAATTCTGGGAGTTGAAGTCCATGGATCTCAAAGCAACCAAGGCTGAGAAACACCGATTTTGCAAGGAGTTTCCTACCTTGGCCAGCGCAACCATCAGTTTACGGAAATCGCCAGAAGTGTCAGAGGTGATGTCTTTTTCCAGTTCAGTTTTGTACACTAAAAACCAAGCAGAATGAAGGTTAAAGATGGGGGGAAACACCTCTGGGTTTAATCTGACAAACCCTGAATGTTGGTCACACCTGACTGCAGCCCTGAAGTTCAGTACAGATGCAGGAATAAGTTTGGCTTGATGCCCTATAAAGCAGCTGCAATAAGAGGAACCTCCTGGGTTCCTGACTATAGGGAGTCCTCGTTTGGCAACTATAATTGGGACCAGCCACTCAGACATTCAGCAAAACAGTCGCTATGTGAAACAGCGACTGCTTAAGGTCTGATGAAGTTTTCATTTTGTTTTGAGACCTGCCAAGGTCATCAATGCAAGGATCGCTTGCAAAGTGACTTTATCTTCACTGTCATAGCTGTGAACAGTCACTAAACAAGGCAGTTACTAAACGAGGAGTGCCTGTAATTAAATTTCACCCAGAGGACACTGGTGAAGCTGGGAAAACTTGGTGGGATTTTTTTTTTTCCTACAAACGTCAAACTGTGTATTACAGAAAATATTATTTCTTGTTTTCACACCCACTGCGGATATCTTGGCCAAGAACCATATTTTCTATTCCTTCAGTCCTGATGGGACCTGTTTGACTTTTATATCCAGTGAAGTTTGCTAAGTTCGCCACTCCCCGGATGCAAGCTGCTTATTATATATATATACAAATTAATAAATAAAAAATTCTGGAGATTGCACAAACAAAATAACAGAAGTGTCATCTTCGCACCAGGCCTCTTTTCCTTCAGTAAGAAATCATTGTTGCTGTCCATCCTTAACAAAACCCCGGATGCTTCCCATGAGCAACTTGGCCAACTTACTTTCCCTGTAAACTTTGTTGATGATGGCCAGTTCCTGGTTTGTCCGTGAGCAGATGATCTCAATGAGCGTGTCTTCGTCGGTTCCCAGGCCCTGGAATGCAAGAGAAAAATCCACGGAGTGCTTTACGGCCATCTCGGTTGAGATGCATCACCGTCTGACTCCGATCACTGGCAAAACCTTCAGGAAAGTCTTAGTCAGCGGCCTTGCTTGAACCGAGCTCCAGTCCAGCCCTCCCACCTCCTGGGAATCACTGGGAAAACTCCAGCTTAAAGCTTGGCAAGCGGCTGCCACCATTCCTGACGGCTGGAAGGACTTATGAGTCACACAACGCTCGTTTTTGTGGTTAATGGCTGCATCTTAACTTGACCTTTTTTTGTTTTTTTTTGTTTCCTCCTAGAAGTTTTTCTTGCAAATGCAGCGTTCGCTGTCTTTGGCTCAACTGAGAGCGAATCCACTGCTTGCTACAGGAACCCTACAAACCTAAGGAAACCTAACATGCTTTTATTCACAGCACCAATGGAAGGTTAAACGCTTACTCGGTTTTCCAACACTCTTTTAATTCTGTTTCCCCCCCCCCCCCCGTTATTTTGTATTTTTTTACTGTGTTCTTAAAACACTGGGAGAAAGAGATGTCCTCGCTCCTTCCTCCCAGCTAGAAGGCGAAGCGATCGTCAACTCAGATTGCAATGCAGGTCATGGACACTAGAGGAAAGTGTTGGATAAACAAAATACTATTCCCTTGCTATTTGTTCGATTGTTTGATTTTATTTATTGATTCTCTATTGCCCCGGGTGCAATTCCCAGGTCCCAAGAGGGAGATTCCAGAGGCCTCAAATCCTTCAGTCCCTTCCTGAGCATCCCAAAAAACCCTTTTTCCCAAACCTGCCAGTGGGTGGTTCTCCCATGCCCATAACTGCCAAATGTCCCCCCGTCTGTGTGGCTGAGGTGGACGGGGCCTTCAGACCAAGAGCATCCTTGTGGGCAGGGCAGGGTGAGTGACATTTGGGAGAGAAGGAACAGCTCAGTTTCATCCTGGGAGCAGGAGACATCTTGCCCTTGACCGGAGTCGGTGGGATGGACGGAGGGGTGGATCTCACTGACCTTCATGGCTGCCTTCAGCTCAGAGGCGTCATACTGGGCCGGCGTCTTCAAGAGGCCCAAGATGACCGTTTCCAGGTGGCCGGAAAGGGCAGATTTCAAAGCAGCAGCGAGTTCCTACGGCAGGGATTAGATCAACCCGTTAGAATGCCTGCTGAATTAGCAGACCTCTCCGCAAGCCACTCCGTTCCCACAAGCCATAAATTGTGGCTTACAAATCGGAGGCTCCAGATTTTCCCTACAAAACCTAGACCTGTCACTCTAAGCCAGGATTAGCAAGGGTCAAACAAGCCACAATGGGTTATGCAATGACTCGATGCTAAGTTCCCACCTCGCCCAAGGGAATTCTAGGAACTGGAGTCCCAGCCTCCGTACCTTCTTGGTTCTCCGCTGGTAAGCAAAAGCGATATCCTGCCGTTGTTCGTTGCTGCGGTTTGTCAAAAGGTTGACAATGGTCACTTCATCCACCCCTGCAGAGAGAGAAGAACGCCCCTCCCTTGAGACTTTCAAGAGGAGATTGGACTGGTGTAGGTTGGGGGGGTGGACTAGATGGCCTGCAAGGTCCCTTCCAACTCTGTTAATCTGTAAACCTCAGCAAAACTTCTCCACCATTCTGTCCTTCTCTCTCTCTCTCTTTCTGTGTCCCTCTCTGTCCATAGCTTTGTTTTCCAACCTTGGCCACTCTAAAGTGGGTGGACTTCAGCTCCCAGAATTCAACTGCCAACTGAAGGTGAGAACTTCAGTTCCCAAGGGATTCTGGGAGTTGAAGTCCACCCATCCAAAAGTCGCCAAGGTTGAAAAACACCACTGTAAGAGATAAGCCCAAGGAGAGGGAATTTAAAAATAACAATAATCTCAATTGATAGAAGCGTGCTGAGAAGGAAAGCCAATAAGAGCAGCTTGTCAAAAGTTGAGTTTCTAGCATCCGCTCTTCCTTTAAGTGATGACGGATTGATTGACCAGCATCATCCGGCTTTTTAAAACCCCCAAAAAAGCCTTGGGAATCTGATTGGGGAGGGGAAACGAAGGCGGGTCTCCACACCCCTCCCTGTGCAAAGAGGATTGGCCGGAGTTTGCGCCAGTCATGCAGAGCGCAAAAACGAGGGTTTTCAGCACGGAGGAGTCTTTCATCAAAGGCACCCCAAAGGGTGGGAAAACCACAGCTGGTGGTCCATGCAACAGGGTGGATCCTGGGCAGATCCTCCAGAGCAGGGGTCTCCAACCTTGGCCCCTTGAAGACTTGTGGACTTCCGCTCCTAGAGGAACTCTGGGAGTTGAAGTCCACAAGCCTTAAAGTTGCCAAGGTTGGAGACCCCTGCTCTGGAGCAGCCGTAGTCCACTGAAAAGGGCAAAAGGGGAAGGAACCCCCCCCCTCTAATCCTGCCTCCATGCCCAGCCAGGAGAAGCAGCAGCCCTGGTTGACTTTGGATCCAACTCCGCACAGTCTCCTTGGCACCTACCTTTGGCCTTGATGGCGGTTTCCAGGGTGAGAGCATCGCGATCGGCATCGAAGTTCCCGTAGGCTTTGATAGTGGCGTAGGCGCTGGGGGGAAGGGAGTGCTGGGGGGGGGAGAGAAAAAAAGGCAACCATCAATCAGAAGATCTGCTGAGCCCACTCATTGCTTGCGGGGGGAGGCCGACAAAATGCCATTCACATAGGCAAGCCTCCCACCCCCAGGAAAAGGAAGCCATTTGCCTTGAGTGAGGCCCCCTTTGCCAATCTGGTGCCCTCCTGAAGGGCTGGCATCAACCCATCTGCAGGCCCCCACCTTGGGTGAGGCTGAATGCCTTGGCAAGGTTCGGCCCCATGGATGTGGGGGGGGGGGCTCCTTCACTTATGGGCTCAATCAGGCATTTGCAAACGCCAGGCTGCCACCGGTGGCTGGGGACAAAGCAGGAGGATGGGGGCCACAAAACGGGGGGGGGGGCAAGGACCCCCCATGAGCCCCCCCCCCCGCAAGGGGGTTCAGGGGGGCCCAGAAAAGAGAGGGGTGTCTCTGAACCCCCCCCCAAATCAACAAGGGGACGATGTGGGTTGAAGCTAATCAAGTAATCGGATTCCCACCCACCCTCAATGAGCCCCCCCCCCAATTCAGGAGGGCGGCAGGTCTCTCTCCTCTCTCTCTTTCTCTCTCTCTCTCTCTTCTCCAGGTTCTGTATTCAAGTTCTTGACAATCCGAATCTCATTAACAAACCTTTGGGCTAATGGTCTTCTGCAATTGAAAGAGTTCAGCCCAGCTCACGTTTGGGCCTCACAAGTGGTGGGCTGAATTACAGCCCCCTCTCTTAAGCCCAGAAGGAAGGGCGGCCCATGGCTAGCGCTGATGGGGTCTGTAGTCCCAACGCCCCTGATTGGGGAAGATAGCGCAGCCAGCCCGTCTCGCTCGCCCAAAGTGCTGGAAAGGAGAAGTGGCTTTGGCCATAAATGTTTCAGGCTGCCAAAGGCCGCTCCCCTGGCAGGGGAGGGGGGCAGGTCTCCAAAGGGGGTTTTGGAGCGGGGGGGGGGGCAGGGAGGGGCACCCTCTTCCAAGCCTGCAAAGCAGGTTCCACCAGGGCAGCTTCGCAGAAAAATATCTATTCTGCTTTTCCTCGGAAACGCTCCCTGCGAGAGGGAAGGGGAGGCGAGACGTGTTTTCCAGGGAACCCACCCTGCCACCTTCCCTCTTCCCCAGGCAGGAGCTGGCCCCAGGCCAGGCCAGGCTTGGCACCTCCAACAGTTTCCCAGAAGAAGCTGCTGATTCATGAAGCCAAAACCAACAAGGAGTGGAAAAGTTAAATGCACCAAACTCTTGAGCTTGTCTGCTCTCCAAACAAAGGACATTCTTTGGCCGTGGAAGAGCAAGCAGTGGAAAAAAAGAGCCTGCAACGGGGGAAGGAAATAGCTGACCCGGCCCCAGGAGAGCCTCTTGCACAGAACCTGCTGAGCCTGTTGGTCAGAGGAGCCCGTTCTGGGCTGGAGGACGGACACCCCACCCCCCACCACGCACACACACACACACACACACACACACACACACACACACACACACGGCAGTGTTGCAGCCACTCCATGGACAAAAGCTCTTCATCGCCCTCAATGGCTCTTTGTTTTCTTGCAGACGTTTTATTACCCAACTAGGTAACATCGTCAGTGCTACAAGGGAGTGGGGAGCTTACTGTTTGAGCCTGCCCTATCTACATTTTCTGGGAAAATCTACTTGGATGTGTGTGTGTGCAAACCCACTTAGGGTTAGGCGGCCCCCATGAATCCGGTGAGCAAAATGGACATCGCCAACGGATTCGTAGCGCCTGGGAATGCTTGGGAGGGGGTCGTGTTTCAAAGCCCTCCCCTCTACAATACTTACATCTCCCTCCAGGGTGAGCTTGCTGAGGATTTCGTGGACAGTTGACATCTTGGCAAAAAGCTGGAGGGAAGAACAGAAAAAAGAAGGTGTCATAAAAATCCACCTCAACTTCTGGGAGGCATTGAGACCTACAAGTCTGGCCTAAAAACTCTGATTCTGTAGCCCACCCACCCACCCACCCCCGTCTTGACCGCCTGGCCTAGTCAATGAATGGCCGTCCTTGTTCACCAGCCTTTCACTTCTGGATTTTCCAAAGCTTCCAAAGAAATGCTTTGTTTCCAGCTAGCCCAACAGAGCCGATCCTGGGTCCTCGCAGATACAGCCAGGAAAACTTTCATACCTGGTCAATCCGTAATTGAAATTTTCAAATGGCAGATTTAAAAAAGTTACCTAAAACCAATTTGCCCAGTTTGGGTTTTCGATTACACATTTCAGACACCTGCTTAGGGGAAACCTTACTGCAATTATGTGGAGGAAGAGGAGGAGGAGGAAGGTTTCTTCTTCATTCTATATGGCAAGAAGCTCCAAGTACTTTGCAATTGAGGAAACATGGCATTTCCTGCGAGGAGGTATTTTGCTGCTGCTATTAGAATTGGTTCCCCAAAGGGGATTTTCTGCCCTTGGAGACTTGGGGCAAGAGATTCAATTGCCAAGGCGGTAATACAATTAAGCGCTATAAAGAAGGGCACAATTTAAGGAAGGAAGCGTTTCAAAGAGGCTTGGCCTCTTGCAAGCCACACAAGAACAACTGAACAACTTGGGGAACATTGAGGAAGTGGAAGCCAGCAGCGTGCCATTAATAAGCCAGCTATTAAGGGTGAGGCAAGGATGAGGAAACCACGGTTTGCCAAGAATTGTCCGGCCCCACCAACCTTATTCGTTCTTCAGTTCTGAAGGCTTCAAGAAACAATAGAAAAGTAAAGTAAACGAAAAGGAGGAGAGAAGGAAGGAAGGAAAGCATTTTATTTGGACACCGCAAAAGAATGCACATTCTTTAGAAAGGATTGGGAAGAATCTTGAGATTCAAAAGCAAAAAAGAAAATGGAGCGAAAGGTCGAAAGGCAGAGCAGGGGCCTCCATCCAGCACAGCCGAGGCAGGTTTTCCATCCTGCAGAGCCCAGATTCCACTTCCACTGTGGAGCAGGGTTGCCGGCCCTTCCCACCCCTGGCCGAGCCTTCAGAAAAGTTGTTTCTCTCTGCCCCAAACTTCTATCAAAGTGTTTGCAAGCATCCTGCCACTTCTGGGCTGGGCCGAGGGGCAGTGGTCCTCGGAGGGTGGGATCCCACCATAGCATTCCTCTCCCTCTTCCAAGAAGGGGGCAATGCCAAATTCCTCCGCTCAGAGAAATCTTCCCGCTGCTGCCCACAAATGCAGCCAAAAAAAAACCCCCAGACAATTGTTTGCAAACTTTCCTTTTTAAATCCACCCCGGGCAAGGCCAGTAGCCAACTTGCAAAATCCAAGGGGGGGGGGTGCCTGAGAGACCCCTAGAAGAGCCACTACCCACTGCCCTGGATTGAAACATCCAGTCACGAAAAGAAAAGAAAAATCTGAAGAACTCCAAAGAGGACACTTTGAGATCATCCAGTCCAACCCCGGCAGCTGGCCATCTTTCCAAAGCTGCAGAGCGATCCTAGGGACACGGAGACCCTGATGTTTAGCCGAGGGACTGGCAAGCACATTGCTCACTTCCCCTCAAATACAGGACTCGGGGAATGGGGAATCTCCCAATAAAGGAGAAGGTTATGGAGGGCAGAAGGGCTTGGGAGGTGAACTCTGGGCAGTTGGAGAGATTTGGGGCTGAAAAGAGGACACCTGCGAGTCACTTCCTAAACAGCTTTAAAAAAACAACATGTTTCTAGTCCCTAGGATGGCCAAGAGAGGTTAGGAATAGCACAGGTCCGGATACAGCAATACCTCCATTAATTTGGAGCCTTTATGTCCTGAGGTTCTAAGGATGGACAACTCCTTGGGGTCTCCAGTGTTTTTCAACCTTGGCCACTTTAGGATGGGTGGACGGACTTCAACTCCCAGAATCCCATGGTTGAGAAAAGCTATTTTAACCCCAATGAGAAGAGCTTTTCCTTCTTGCTACTTCTCTGCTGGCAACCCTATTTCCCAGGTATACTGCCTCCCGCCTTGGAGGCTCCATAACACCCACCAGGTGATATCCCTTACCTCCTTCCTGGGCCCCTCCTCCTCTCTTCTCAAAATGATTTCAACTCTGTAGCCACTTCCTTCCTAGGACCCAATAGAAGTCCTGGGTCTGTTCATTAATCCCCATCAAATGGCCGTGGCTGGAGGTTTATTCTCCACCAGAGCGCTTCTTGGTCTTCATTTACATGCAGGGGTTCCCAAATTTGGCAACTTGAAGACTTGTGGATTGCAACTCCCAGAATTCTCCAGCCAGCTATGCTGGCTGGAGAATTCTGGGAGTTGTAATCCACAAGTCTTCAAGTTGCCAAGTTTGGGGACTTCTGATTTACAGGGTCCAAATCTGGGAGAAGCAGCAGCAGAAGAAAAGTTTTTGAAAGAGGGGGGGGAGGGAGGAGGACGGAATCCAAGGAACGCCTTACGGAAACACACACTCACCCACGCGGACACACACGTTACGCACGCGTGCAACCCGTGCCCAAGCGCAGCCTTTCTGCCAGCCCGCCGCTGGAAAGCCCGGGCGGTTCCCGCTGAGCCGCCCCCGGACCCAGGAGGCCCGACCAGAGAGAAGGCAGCAAGGCGAGGATGGGGTGGAGGGTGGGGTGAGATGCCTCATCCAAAGGGAATCCTGCAAGGATCCCTCCTCCGCTTGGAGAGCGATCTTTGGTCGGGGAGGAAAGATCGCCCGGGTTCAGCTTACGTGGCGGGGCCGCCTTAAACAGGTGAGGATTGCGGTGCGGCCGCTCTGCAGCTTGCAGAATCTGGGCGTTTTGGGGGGGAATGGTTTTTGAATTCACACAGCCAACTTCTTGCGTGTTAAAAGCACCTCTTAACACTGGAGCTAGCCAAAAAAACAAAAACAAAAAGGCATGTTTTAAATCCAGGGGTCCGCGGAGGTCCTCAGTCCTCCAGGCCATGGCTGTCCCAAAGATGGGGTTTTTTTCCCCCCCAAAGCAACTTTGCTTTTCCTTGAAGACGTTTCGCTTCTCATCCAAGAAGCTTCTTCAGAACTGAAGCTTCTTTAGAAGCAAAGGAGCTTCTGGAGTGAGAAGCGAAACGTCTTCGTGCAGTTGCCTTTGGAAAAAGCAACTTTAAAACCCAGGTTTCTTAGTTTCTATGGAGATTCTGCATCCTCCATCCAGGTCCTGGTTCTCCCAGGACTGGACTTTCTGGTTTTTCTTTGAAAACGTTTTTGCTTTTGGGTCCAAGAAGCTGCAGAGAGCTGAAGAAGCTTCGTGGGTGAGAAGTGAAATGCCTTCAAAGAAAAAATAGAAAAGCCAAGTTTCTTTGGTTTGCAGTTTTTTGGCATCCGTTATCACAAATCCTATCTTAACTGCAGCCTGGAAATTAAAGGGTTCAGCGGGGAACTGTAGAGGCTTGTTCTCCTTCTGTCTGGCATGGCTATGTGCTGGCATGAGGAAACAGCAAAGGGGAATCACATCCCAGCTACTCCTGAGAGCAGGAATGAAAGGCTGAGTTGTGTGCTCAGCACAATTGGGCACAAGATGCTTACACAGCAGATGGAGTTTGGGTCTGGTCCAACCCCAAAGTGAATTCTCTTCTGTTAGATTTCCCCCAAGGACTGCTGCTGCAAAACTTCAAGGCAGAGTTGGCCGTATCAGTGCAGTCTGCTCCAACTTGGGTCCCCCCCACACACAAAAGACCTGTGCTTCCATACCCATAATCCTCAGCCAGCAGGGGCAAAGGCAGCGCAAAGGAGCTAGTGCTTCATGGCCATCCTAGAATTGGAGATGGCCACATCTGGAAGCCACCAAGGCAGAAGGCAGATGCTTTGATCCAAAGAGTCCCTTTTACTTTCCCAATAAAATGCAAGCTTTCTGATGAAAGGTAGGTCTGCGACAGCCCTGTGAGGTAGGCCAGGATGCTGGTGCCCAGCAGGAATGAAGAAAATTCAAAATATGCTTGAGCAGAGATTTAGATCTGGAGTTAACAGTTTCATGGTCCCTAAAGTAGCACTTCTGAAACTTGGCAACTTTAGGATGGGTGGACTTCAAACTCCCAGAATTCCCCAGCCAGCCAAGCTCTTATAAATTGAGAAAAACGACTTTAATACTGCAGTAACTGCTATTCAATGCACCAAGAACCCTTTAAAAAAAAATCCTTTTAATCCATCCTACCAGCCAATTCAGCTTCTCCAGCAAAGGCCGAGTTGCCATTTCACAGCCAGAAACTCATCCGTGCTGGGCCAAGAGCTAAGCTGGCTGTGCCCAGACACCCAGCCTCCTGCCTGGGACCACTGCCATCGCCCCTGGCTGCTCCCTGAGGTGCCGCAGTTGCTTGGCGGGTGAGAAAAGGGGGGAAGGGGGGGCCTCTCTTGCCAAGGAGGGGCTGCAAGGCCGGATTCCTGGCTTGGAAGGAAATCTGGGTGTGGCTGGGCAGGAATGCAGGCAGGGCGCAGGGAAGAGAAGGCTCTGGAAAATCTGGTGGTTGGGGGGGGGGGGGTTTTGAGGGAAGGGGCAATATCCGCCGGTGGGGGGGTTTCCTTTCTGGGAAGGGGGGGGGAGGAAGTTAAGAAAAACCTACTCCGGGCTGCGTTTTTTCCCCCACGCCATAAAATCAGACAATGTCTTCAAAACCAAACCTCGTACTGCCCCACTGTAGATTCAGGATACAGAATAAAGCGACGAGTTGGAAGGAACCTTCTTGAAGGGCTAAGTTCTAGTCCAATATTAGGCGTCTCCAAACTTGCCCACTTAAAGACTTGTGGACTTCAATTCCCAGAATTCCCATGGCTGGCTGAGGAATTCTGGGAGTTGAAGTCCACACGTCTTCAAAGGTGTCAAGTTTGGAAAACCCCTGCTTGCCCATATCTCATTCTGGACCCATGGCTGTCCAGTCCCTTCTTGGAAACCTCCAGTAATGGTGGTGCTGAATCAGAACTTCTGGTTCTGGCTCAGCAGAGTCCATTCCATGCCAGGCCT